TGACTGCCTGAGAATTGATTTAGTTTTAGTTTTTAGAGAACTTGTCAGTCTTCCTTCTCTCTCTCCCTCTCATTTAATCGCATTGAGGCTTCCCAGGAAAATACAAACCTAAGTGCTATTTGTTATGCGTATGCTAGTCAATAAACACATCACAGTACTTCAATTCTGGCACTACTATCCTGGCAAGCATTCTGGCTAGAATACATTTTATGCCTCAGGACCTAAATGTGTAGTGACATACATAATACATAGTGAAATTCTACAAAGATGCACTGGCCTCTAAGAAAGAACAAAGTGTATATTCACACTTCATCATATAATTGTGTCTATCCTGTTATATTATCAAGCATCCTAGCAATACTGTCCATCGTGGATAATCATAGTAATTTAAAATTCCATAGACGTGCTTACACTGATGTCAGATGGTAACAGTTTGCTAATTCGAGTTATGCTACATTACAGGGGAATATCAAAATTGGTACATTTTATTAATACACATTTTACACACTAGATTCTTTTATTCATGAGAAATTAAAGAATTACATGTTGACATCAACCATTTTCTAATTCAAGGAAGAATTATACCATAAGACTTTGAGAATAACATAGACCATGAACTTTTTAAAAGTATTAAACATATTTGGGTAAGCTCTCTGAAACGGTAAGGAGTCTATGAACTGCCAGTGTGAGGGTCAGAAGCCAGGGGCATAGTTTCATTTATTCCTTATTGCAGTAGTTGTATACCCACTGGGGGAGCTCACTCCCCATCTTGTCCAGGGATCCTGTAAGATCAAACTATTTTCACAATAACACTAAAACATCATCTCCATTTTTCACTCTCTTCACTCATGACTTTACAGTGGAATTTTACAGAGGTTTTATGGTGTGTGACTGTGACATGGCAACCCCTGAATGCAGACAGCAGATATGAAAATCCAGCCATGCTGCCTCTTAAACCAGAGAGTAAACAGATTTGGAAATTTATTTTAAAAATCACTAAAATATTTATCACTAAAGATATTTTGTTCTATAAATACATTTGATTTTCAAAAATGTTTTGTTAATATGTAATGGGTTTATTCTTATTTTAAAATGAATTAATAAGGTGTTTAAAAATATCTCAGTTGTAATTTCCAATATAATAAATATGGGGTTTTCAACAATTGTTAAGGATGTTAAGGGGTGCTGTGGTAGAAAGGTCTGGTAACTGCTGCCTTACTGTAATGATTAGTAAAATATAAGAGCTCTAGGGACTTCCAGTTTCCATTCTGGGATAAAGAAAGCTAGAAAGAGATCACTCCCACACTTACAATGAAAAGCTGGACAAATTGAAAAAATTCATGAACTCACTAGAGAGCTGAGGTTGTGGGACAAACAATTTGCCAACATCTAAGGAGAGACAGCTGATTGCAGCATGAGACAATGTGAACACTGGCTCAATTGGGACAGACACAACCAGACACAAATAAGAAGAGCTCAGCTAGGGTGATGGCAAACTGCTGGTGGCCAAAAGTGATATGGCAAAAGAGTTAGAAACCCTTGGGGATCACAGAAATTGGAGGATTCCACTCTCCTTTCAGTTGATTTTTCTCCATGAATTCCACCAGTTGTCCACAGAAAAGTTTGGGGAAAATTTAAGTCAAGCGCCCAGGGAGAATGGCGACTAACACTCTGGAACACTGGTGAAAAGCTATTGCAGCTGGGAGAAGAAAATAGAAAACAGAACCAAACAAAAGCTTACCCATGAGGAAGGGCAGAGATTCATTCTGGGCTCAGCACTACAGATGGGAGGGGGCAAGAGAACTAAGGAGGGAACCAGTGTCTGCCTAATAGTGTAGCTAAATGAGAACAGCAGAGAATACTCCATCACTACCACTTCTCACTGCCACACTAACACATTACTGCTTGGGGAGGAACAAAAGTGTGCATGGAGATTCTCTCTGAGGTGCAAAGGAAAAGACCTAAAGCTGTGGATGGAAAAGACATTGAGGGAAACCAAAACAAAACACCTCTGACAATCCAGCCTCAATCCCAAACACAAGGTGTTACTAGGGGAATTTGAAATTTACCGTGTACTCAGAGCAATGATAGTGACAATAAAGTTCACACCTAACTCATCTCCTAACTAGATTTTACTCAAACCCCTGCATTAAAGGCCCAGGAGAAGGAAAGGCATGCCCATTTCTAGGCACAAAAAATTGTTTATCTCAGTCTCTACTGAAAAATATATAAGATGCCAAATTTTCAAAAACAAAAAAAAATCAAGAGGTACATAAAAAGGCAAAATATATAAAAATAAAAACATCAACACACTCACAATAAACAAAGAAACAGGAAAAACCAGACTGAACTATGACACAGATGTTGAAACTATCTGATAAGGATTTAAAATAACTATAATTAGTATGTTAAAGGATCCAATGGAAAAGGAGGATATCATGCAAGATCTGACTGGAAAGTTCAGCAGAAAGTTGAAAACTATAAAAAAAAAAAAGAAAATGCTAGAATTTAAAAAAACACAGTAACAAAGATAAAGAAAGTCTTTAATAGCTTCATTACTATACTCAACATAGTTGAAGAAAGAATCAAGGAATCTGAAAATAAATCAATAGAAACTACTCAAACAAAAATACAGACAGAAAAATGCTTTAAAAAAATACAATGGTGCATCCAACAGAGATGGGAAAACATCAGATAGTCTAACTTACATGTAAATAGAATACCAGAAAGAGAGAGAAAGAGTAAACACAACAGAACAAATATTTAAAGAAATAATGGCTGAGAATTATTGAAAATTAAACAGAGACATCAAACTACAGAGCCAAGAAACTCAGAGAATCCCAGGCAAGATAAAAAGCAAGAAAATCCACCTAGGCATATCATATTCAAACTTCTAAAAATAAAAGACAATGACAAAATCTTGAAAGCAGCTATAGAAAAAGACACATTAGAGGAACAAAGATAAGAACTACAGCAGACTTGCAGCTAAAAGGCATTGGAGAGCTGAAAGAAAAAAAAATGTCAACCCAGAAAACATTTTGAAATGTTCTTCAAAAATGAAGGAGAAGAAAATACAGAAAAACTGAGCTAATTCATTGCCAGGAGACCTACCCTACAAAAATTGATAGAGGAAGTTTTACAGACAGAAGGAATATGGTAGCAAACAAACTTGGATCTGTACAAAGAAATGAAGGGTACTGAAAACAGAATCAATAAATATAAAATAAAATTCTTTTTTTCTTATTTTTAATTGCTCTAAAATATAACTGACTGTCTAGAACTCAAATAGCAGCAATATATTATATGTTTACAGCATATGTAAAAGTTAAATTTATGAAAATAATAGCATAAATGACGGGAAGAAGAAATTGGGAATATATTATTGTAAGGTCCTTACACAATGCAATCAGAAGATAATGTCTGAAGGTAGGCTCTAATTAATTAAAGATATATACTCCAAATCATAGAGCAAATGCTAAAAAATTAACAAAAATGAATAAATATTAATAGTAATATAAGAGATACAATAAAATTATAAAAATGCTCAATTTATACAAGAAGGAAATAAAAGAGAAAAGTAGAAACAAATAACAAATGGGACAAATAGAAAACAGCTAACATAGATGGTTAAAAAAAATTAAGACCCAAATATATGCTGTCCACAAGAAACACACTTTAAGTTTATAGATACAGATAAGTGAAAAGTGAATGGATGGAAGAAGATAAGCTATGGAAACACCAACCCAAGAAAGCTATTCTAATAGATTAAGTAGACTTCAGAATAAGAAATATTATCAGTGATTAAGGACACTATGTCTTGATAAATTGGTCCATTCTCTAAGAAGACAGAACAATCCTAAATATATATGTACCTTACAATAGAGCTTCAAAACAAAGTAAAATTTGATAAAATTGAAATGAGAAATAAACAAATCCATGTTTATAATTGAAGACATCGACACTCTTCTCTAAATAATTGACAGAACAAGTTAATCAGTGAGAGTGAAGAAGACTAGAGCAATACTATCAACCAATTTGACATTGTTCACATTTATATAATGTTCCTCCCAACAACAGAATACACAATCTTTTCAGTTGAACATAAAAAATTCACTAACACAGACTACAATCTGAACTTATAAAAATCCCTTAACATTAATTTTAAAATAATAAAAATAATATACAGTATATTCTCTGACTAACCTAGGAGCTAAATAGGAATTCTTAAGAAAATACTAAAAATATTTTGAACCAAATAGCAATGAAAATACAATATACCAAAATATGTAGGATGCAGTGAAAGCAATGCTTAGTGGAAACTTTATAGTATTAAAATGATTATATTAAAAAAATAATGGCTCTGAAGTCAGACTTCCAGTGCTCAAATTTGGGCTGACTCTATACTAAATGTGTGTCCTTGGACAATTTGCTAAAACTCTCAATGTATACAATTCTAAAATGATGGTAACAGTAATTCTTCCTTCCTAGAGGCATTGTAAGAAGTAGATCTGACACATTATGTAGAACCCCTTAGCACAGCGTCTAGCAAATATTAAGTGTTTAATAAATATCAGTTAACATTTGGTCAATTTCTAATTATTAGTAGCCATTTTGAAAGAAACTAGGGATAAGGGTGACAAATAGTCCTTATCCTCAAGAACTTCAAAGTCTAATGAGGAGACAAGCAAACTCATAGAAATTACTACTCAATACAAAATTGGGACCACATGGAAATGCTATTTGTGCCAAACTGGGGGAATTAAGCATATTTCTCAGAGATGGTAGACCTGGCATAAAGTTTAAAGTCTTAGTAGTTAGCTAAGCTAAAGGAAGATATTTCCAGGGGGTGAATGGTCTCAGCAAAGCATTGTGAGGACACATGCAAATCTGGAAGCTGAAGTTGATTCTAATTACTAGAACAGAGTTTTCCAAAGTCAGAATGGCAGGTGGGTGTACAGGCAGGATTAGAGAGCAAAGCCCTCACTTGTCATACCTAAGGGGTTAGATTTTATTTTATAGCAAGGTGCTGAGTGACAAAGTGACACAGTCAGTCTTCTTAGAAAGAAGCTTTGGCTGTACCACAGAGGATGTTTGGTAGGTGGCTGGGGATAGGAGCAGGCAATGCAATGGAGCAAGATGGCAGTTGTCACAGATGTGATATATGAAGGCATCTTGTCATGTATCACACAGGAAATGGCAAGAGAGATATTAAGGATGCCTTATCAAAAAGCCTTGTGAATGATTTCATGTGGAGGTGATAAATGAGAAGATGCACAATTCTGGCTTAAACGTGTGAGTGAAGGGAGGTATGAATCACTGTGGTAGGTAATTAAGGAGGCAGAACAAGATGTGGAATTCAACAGATACACTGGGTTTCAGGTGCTAATGAGCTATCCAAAGAGAAACTGTCTAGCAATGTGCAGTCCAGCTGTGAGATATTGGGTAAAATTATGAATTTGGGATTTATCAGTGTATAGTAATAAATGAATCTTTGGGCATGGATGAGACCTTCTTGAGAGAGAACTTAGGTGAGGACAGAGCAAATGAGGTAATTTAAAGCTCTGGGACTTGTTGACAACAACTGAGAAGATAAGAAATAGAGAATTATAAATAGATACTAAAGACAAAGTAAGTCTTTGACTAAGTCCTAATTATTTTTGAGAACTTGGCTCAGAAATTTTTCCCTCTAAACTATCATAAGTATCTTCAAAAATGGTGAAGTCTGTACAGCACTGTATTAATTTCCTGGGGCTGTTGTAACAAATTAGCACAAACGTGGTGGCTTAAAACAACAGACACTTATTCTTTTACAGTTCTGGAAGCCAGAAATCCAAAATCAAGGTGCTGGCAGGACCATACTCCCTTTGAAGGGTTTTGGAGAGAATCCATTCCTTGCTTTTTCCAGCTTCTGGTGGCTGTCAGCATTCTTTTCCTTGTGGCACACCTCTCTCTGCTCTGTCTCCACCTTACCTTCTCCTGCAGGTGTCTGCCTTAAAGTTCCCTACGTCCCTCCCCTCTGAAGACACACTGGATTACATTTAGGATCCACACAAATAATCTAGTATAATCCATCATAAACTCCACTCAAGATCATTAACTTAATCACGTCTTGTACAAGGTACTGTATACTCTTACTGTATCAGGTGATATTGACAAGTAATGGGATTAGGACATGAACATAGCTTTTGGGGGACCACCACTCAGCCCACTACAGGCACTCTGTCAAAAATTTAAACTAAAGCTCACTGTTTGCAAGGTTCTGGGTGAAAAGTTATTCATACATTGTTGAAAATTTTAAATTATCATGATTTTTTTAGAGGACAATTTGGCAAAGTCAAGCAAAAGTCTTGAAAATGGGCATACTGCCTTTAATACAGAAATTACCACTTTGGAACTCTATCCCAAGAAAATATTTGGTTCCTATAGGAATGTGCAAGTATGTTCATCACAGTCTTTTTTGTTTGAAAAGAAAGCCTGAATCTAACCTAAAATGCCCAAGAATAAGGGCTTAAATTATGTTATATATTTATAAATATGCACATATGTAGTAAATTTATACAATGACATGATGTGTAGCTATTAAATTTGGTAATATAATTCCATATTTATACATATGTAAAAGAATTTACAATATGATGAAATAAAAGGTTTATAAAATGGTATGTATAGTATGACAATATTTTAGTTAAAAAGGTGTATGTAAAACAATCTGGATGAATTGATTGTACAAACAATATCAGTAGGGTCATTGGAATTTTATTTCTTAATTCATGTTTATGAGTTTGAATTTTCTGCAGAGAGTTCACTTATAACATTAAAAAATAACTCAAAAGAGAATTTATTTCTTAAATATCAATTTTTCTTCAAAATATATTTATAATTCTTAAAACTTCAGACATTCTAAGGTAATTTAGCCATGAGTTTTCTGATAAAGAAGAAAACTATACAGAAATATATAAAAATTTGACTTGAGGTCAGGAGTTCAAGACCAGCCTAGACAACACATCAAGACCCCATCTCTACAAAAAAATTTAAAAATTAGCCAGGCATGGTGGCCCATGCCTATAGTTCCAGCTACTTGGGAGTTTATGGAGAATTTTATGTAGCTCTTCATAAAATGAATAATGGAAATTTGTAGTGTTCACTGGCAGAACTTTTGTGTTAATATCAAGGTGTCAAGTAGTGCACAATTAATCTTGAGGCAGAAGGATCACTTGAGCCCAAGAGTTCAAAGCTGCCATGAGCTATGATTGGGCCAGTATACTCCAGCCTAGGCAACAAAGCAAGACCCTGTCTCTAAAAATACACATATACATATACATATAGCCGAGCATGATGGCACATGCCTATATAGTTCCAGCTACATGAGAGGCTAAGGCACGAAGATTGCTTGAGCCCAGGAGTCCCAGGCTGCAGTGAGCTATTATTGCATGCAACCGTACTTCAGCCTAGGCTATAGAGCCAGAGCCTGTCTCCAAGTGTGTGTGTGTGTGTGTGTGTGTGTGTGTGTGTGTGTGTGTCTTTGGAAAAAAGTTATATATATATATAACTTTTAAATATATATACCTTTGAAAAAAATTCCAAATACTCGTTTTCTAAATATTACAAAGTCAACAGTAACACTTGAAACATGACAAATGAGAGAAAATCCTTTATTCCTGAATGTAACAAACATTCATTATTTAAGAAAAATCTAGCCTATAGCTGTAAATACTCTCTGTGAACCATTTAAAAGCCAATTATGTATGCCTGGTGAGACTGTGAATGAATCACATCAACTAACTTAAATTATACACATAAATTATAAAGTTTAATTGTTTCTGGAAGAGGCACTAATCTTATTAAGTATAATGATTAGTGATGTCCACAAAATACATCTCTCAAGATTTTTATTTTGATTTATATTTAACTCACAAAATAATGATCTTTTATATACTACTAGTACAGAGTCCATTTTATGGTTCAAACCTAAAAAAAAGTAAAAAACATGAAATTGCTATTTTGCTGTTATTAAATGTGATTCACCAATTCTTCCCAAGCCAATAAATATTCACTTTCTCTGGTATTTGCTTCCTCATCTGGAAAATGGATTAATCAAAAATGTCTTCTCAGAGTTTCATGAAGAATTTTATGTAGCTCTTTATAAAATAAATAATGGAAATGTGCAGTGTTCACTGGCAGAACACTTCCATTAATATTAAGGTGAAAAGTAGTGCACAATTAATTTAACCACTATGAAATCAAGTAGATTGTTAAAATGTTTTAAAATTCACTCTATAACAATCCCTTTGCCTACTAAGCTCAAGGCATTGCACTTCAAACTGCAGGAGTGGTTTTCTGAAATTGTTGTTGTAGGTTAGAATTCTCAACCTTTTAAAAGGAAGTATGGTAAATAACTCAACTTTGTTAAAATCATACCAAATGCATATTTTAACAGAATTTGCTAGATTATTCTAACCTCTGACAGAAAACTAGGGTAAATAGGCTCATTAACTCCTCTTTCATTGAAAGAACTCAGCACTCCATAAAGAGCCTCTTCTAACACAGAATTTATTTATGAAGTTGTTTCAATTCTGTCAGTTCATGAAATTCTTGAAAGGTTACCTACCCAGAACAACGTATACAGATGTCTGGGAAGGATGTTGCTGCCAGGATCTTGAGGGTATGAAACAATAGATAAGTGGAAGGTGGCCAGAAAAAAAAAAAATGTCTTATCAATGACTGGGGAAGAAGATGGCAGAGAATTTGAAGTCACATGAATTTAGTAAGCATTTGGTAGAGACTGGTAGAGAGTCCTAAAAGGATGTAGTAGGATTATCAAATGAACACCTAAGCAAACTTGTCTTCTTCCTAATTTTACTTGATTCCAAATAAACAACTGACTTAACAACATGCTGAGGGCCCACATCTCAGGACCCCTAATTCCTCATTCCAGTTTACAGAATGATTAAAAGACTAACCAACATTTTCTAGAATTCATCTTCTCTGTTTCTGATCTTTACTCCATTTTCCTAGTGTTATTATTGAGAAAGTCTCTTAATATAAGTTTAAATGTATGTACATTTGATATTAATGATAATGTAAGCTGACCACAGTCATGGAGATAGAGGGACCATTAATACGCATAAGGATAAAATTATTCATTTATATTGCATTCTCTTAAAATTAGTTTTTCTATAAAACCATCTGGGAATGCCTTCAAACTGTGACCAAATATTGAGCAAACTGTTCTCTGTGGGATTCTGATTTAATTCATGGCATATCTGAAAGTGCAGAGTTATTAATCCAAAATGGAAAAGATAAAAGCAGTAGTTTTGCTTAACATTTTTTCTTTTTTTTTTTCTTTTTGAAGGAAGAGGAAAGTGCAAATATAAGAGATGGTGAAGTTGACTACTAAATTTGCACTTTATTCTTCATTTACTTCCCCAAAACCAATTTATTGCTAGATTTCCCTAGCAGCATGCATCTAACATTTATTGCCATTGTTTATTCTACTGGAAGAAATGTCCTTTAAATCTAAAATATAATTACTTCCATCTACCCATCTACTCCAACACATATTTAATGCCTAGCATACACCAAACTCTGAGCAAGACTCCAGGGAAATTAAACATAACCACACATTCCTTGGGGAGCTAAAATTTGATTTGCATTTTCTTCACCTTTTCTTTGTTGTTATTTCTTCAAGCTCAAAATCTAGAATACATATTTTGAAACCAGAAAAATATTAAGTCTAAAAAAATGGTTCCAGAAATTATCACTATAAGAGCTTTGTTGACTCACATTTGAGCAAAATAACACACTGTACGTTATTTTTTAAAACCAATTGCAAAACTAACTGTTTAATATTTGGCTTTCAAGTCTGAGGATGGGCACCGGTGACTAACCATGGTCACACTCTTATTTGAGCTAAATTGGAGCTCAGGCTCCAACTGTCCTACTGTTTATGTTAAGGTGAAGGAAGATGTCACCTCCTTGTCCCAGGGACTGGCTTGGTGGCACAGCCATTATGACGGAGTGCACAGAATACAGACCTGCAAACAGAATCAAACCTGTGCCAAGGGCATTTCCCTGCCCAGTGATAGACCCAAAGTTTGGTCAGTTCTCTGGACAGGTATATGGTGTTGCTTTCAGGAATGCAGAAGACTATTCACTCTAATCTTCAGCCCAGAATGCTTGTTCATTCATGAATTCCAACATTTATTGAACATTAACTTCAGCCTAGGCATGATGCCAAGTGCTGAGGACACTGCAGTGACCAAGATAGACATGACCGCTACCTTCATGGAATTTAAACAACAGGATAGACTGAGGGGAGATTGGAAGGAAAGAGGACAACAGTACCCCTTACCTCTCTCTCTCCCCCTGCAACACGACCACATTATAATGGCTTTATAGTAAGTTCCATAAAGCCATGGGTTACGGTTTCTTCTCCCAGTGAATTTGATTGCACCAATTTTTCTCCCTAACACAATAATAAATTCCTTGAAGGCAGAAACCCTACATCATAGAAATTTTTACAATCTCTTCTAACACCCAATTGCCTAGTGATTCACATTGACTGAGCATTTTTTCTGCAAAATGGAAAAGCTCACATTCACTTCCAGCTAAAAGCAACAGCAGAAGGAAGTTGTAACACTCAAAACACTATGAAGATAAAGATAGAAGTTCTCAATAAAGCAGAGTGGTCATGTGGTAGTGATGTTAATCATGTGTCAACACAAAAGACATTCCACACACACAACGACTGCTGCTACACTAACCCTAGCTCCACATCCTTAATGCATGCAGAAAATCAGTATGGCCTGATTTGGGGCTATTATAGAAGAAGAAGAAGTCCTCCCCTTAAATAGCTCTCCCCAAATGGTCTTTGAAAGCCTGACCTTATTCACGCTCTGAGTTAAAGCCTCTTTTTAATAAAACTGCTGGCTGTGATTGTTTCCGCTTTTGAATTCTTGTACTACTTTCTATCATATTCTTGGACCAAGGAACAGATTTATTGATTTAGAAAGCCTGTCTTATTCAGAAAGTAATTAAAGAAATATGTATGACATTGATAAGGAAGTAGGGAATAATGTTTAAGAAGGACAGGTCAAGAACCAGACTTCTTGTGTCTGC